AAAATCCTAAAACTTTTTTCTTCCTTTTTTTGTTTTTGTTTTTCTCTGTACCGGGGTAGAATTTAAGACCTTGCTTGGGTGAGGCATGCAGTCTACCACAGAGCTCCAGCCCTTCTGATATTCTTTAGTGGGGCAGGGGGAGATGCAGGGGATCAAACCTAGGACTAAGCTATATCCATAGTCCTTTTTAAATTTTTTATTTTGAGACAAGTTCTTGCTAAATTGCTAAATTGCCCAGTTGCTTCACTTGCAATCTTTCTGCCTCAGCCTGGTATTACAGGTATGTGCCACCATGCCTGGCTCTTCTGACATTCTTAATGTGTTCAAAGTTGATACCAGAGCACCCTGGCAGAATGGCACAGAGCACAACCTTGGGATGTGTCTGGGCGGGTGACTTCCTTCCCCAAGCCTTGGCTTCCTGTGCTTCATCACACATGAATCCTGTGCACCTTGCTGCCTTGTTCTGGTGGCCAAGCCAGGCACTGCCTCTGTGTGGCACACAGAGTCCACTGTGCTTACTGCCCCTGTGCCCTTCTGCAATGGGCCCCAGCGTCCACAACATCTCTCCAGAGCACCTTGCAGCTGGTGTGGCTCTGTGTGTGAGTGCTGCATCCAGCATTGACACCAAACATGTTTCTTAGTGCATCTGTTCACGTCACAACGACCTGTGACAAAATCCCACCCCTTCATATGTTCACAGCCCAGCTCAAGGGGCTGCCATTTGCTGAATGCAGGGTGCTGTCTTGAACCTTACTCTAAACATTCTTTTTACTACCAGTCCAGGCCTGTTTATACCAAACATTCCGGGAGAAGGTGGGACCAGCAGAGAGATGTTCTGGAGTTCAAATGTCACTTCAGATTCAGGATACAGGGACATTTGGAGGCCAGAGCCATCCTGTGCATGCCAGGCTCCCAGAGAGACAAAAGCCACAAACCTTTCCTTTCTCTTTGCAGCCAGGTGGCAGAGACTGTCTCTTGCTACAGCTGCAGACTAGGATACATTCCTCTTCTCCGCGGCTAAAACACTGAGAGCTGCCAGGAGAGCGCAAGTGCCCAGTCTGCTTTCTCTCTCAGACTGTGCCCGCTGGGCCCCTGGTGTAGCTTCCCCAGCCAGCCCCCTGTCCTGGCCCTTTCTGAAGCCTTCACTTCTCCTGGTGCCTGTCAGATCCTGCCCCTCACTGAGACCTCAGCCCTGCTCAGGTGAACGTCCTCTTCATGGCACATGCAGGTCCAGACACACACATCCTGCACGGTCACACTCAGGCTGAGCTGGCTCTAGTGATTCAGGCTCAATGCTCCAGGGACTCATGGATGAGGAAAGGGATGGACCTATGAGCAGCTCCAGGGCACAGGGTGACCAGTGCCACGCATACCCAGTGGGGTGGCAGGAGACATCACTCAGCCTCAGTGAGAGGGGCTACCAGGTGAGCTTTCTGGGATTCATGAACATATACTATCCTCTGAGCAGAGGGGATTGTTAAACAGTGAAGGGGTGCTCCTGCCAGACTCCTGCCCTAGGATGGTGCATGGCTCGGGGACAGGGGTTGTGCTGTAAGAGGCCCAAGCCCCTCATTCTTCAGAGTAGGCCCCTCTTGGTGGGCAAAATGTGGGATTTGTGCACCCTTGGCTTTCATCCAGGGGGCAGTGTGTCTGGAATCCCCAAGAGTCCTAAGGATGAAGGGGTTTTGGGGGAGTGTACTGTAGATCCCCTAACTTCTAGTTGTGAGTTAATACACTGAACAGAAAAGGCATTTATACAAAGGTCTACACTATGGTTTCTGGGGTTGGCAGCGATTATTTCAGAGGCTCCAAGTAGAATCAGGTCTTCTAGGTCCATCCCCAAACAAAACTCATGAAGCCTCAGGTATACTGTCAGGAGTATGGTGTAGACATCTATGCACCTGACAACTGACCCTGTGAACTGAGAGTCACCCTTGGACCCTGGCCATGGCATCATTCTACAGGTGAACATGAGCTGAGTCTGACCCTCCCCAACTTCTGCAGGCAGCCGGCCTCAGATGACCGAGTGGCTTCATTAGGGGAGGACCAGGCAGCTGATCTCTAAGTCTGTCTCCAGCTCTAATTTTCTTTCTTTGGTTTTTTGAGACAGGCTCTTCCTTGGTAGTCCAGGCTGGCCTTGAACTCACTATGTAACCCAGGCTTGCCTCAAATTCATGACAAGCCTTCTGTGATGGAGACCGCTACAAAGCAGTTCTGAGCAGGATTTAAATTAGCAGTTGGCTTTCCATGTTTACTTGTGAGTCTGTCCAAGGCCTAGGCCCCTTGTCTAGAGATGGGAAGCAGACTCATAGTAAGTGAACTTCTGTGAGTCACTGGTCCCAGCTGAGACCTATAATGGTGGATGAAGCCCTGATGCCTCAAAGGACAAGATAAGGCCACAGCTAAGGATACCTGGCTCCAACGTCAACTAAGTAGATAGAGACTGTAGCCACAGGCATCTCATTCCTGCTGTGAAGACCTTCTTGAAGACAACATAGTTCTCCTAAATTAACATAATGTATAACTTGGAGACATTCTTGAGCAGGCTTCCAAGATCCTTGAATGGTCCTGCTCAGATTCCCACCTTTCTTCAGTATTCCCCTCCTTTGTTTGATAACTAAATAAATACAGGCCAGCTGCCTAGAGAAGATCTTTGTCTTAGCTACCAGAGAATCTTGAATTCTGCTAGAGGGTTTTGATCTTCCTGGAGCCCTAAAATCATACCACTTGACTCTTTTATTTATGCCTTATCTGTACACTTGTTTGGGAGATTACAGATCTGATTAGTCTGCTATAACTAAGGGAAATTTTTTTTTTTTTGGTTTGGTTTTCTCCAGTACTGGGAACCGAACTCACGTAAGGGAAAATATTAACATGTTACTCCTGCCTCAGCCTCCCAAGAACTGGGATTACAGGCATGCAGCACACCTGGCTCCTGATCTAATGTTCTATGAATCTAGATCGTTCTCACTCTTACTGGGTTTGATTATTGTTCTGTGAGCTGCTTTGCCTGGGATGGGGTTTATAGCCTAAAACCTGGGTTGTGGGATTTGTCTGGGGTATGGGATTTAGCTTTACCTCGCAGACTTTTCTCCTGTATGTACAAAACAAATAGCCCAAGATAGGAGCAAACAGAATATTGCCATCCCTAGTGTCCATCCTAAAATTTTACTGAAAGAGCTGAAAGTTACTCCCAGAAAATTTTGTTCTTCAACTTCAAATGCACAGTGTCAACTAATCAAAGGCAACTAAACATTTCAACTAAAAACTCAAATTCTACCTTACTCTCAGATACTTGATATCTCAGAAAAGTCCAGGGGTTTTGAATTGGAGTGGAGCTAAGTCCACTACCACTGCCATAAGCCTACTGCTGCCTCAGCTTTGGGCTGAGCAGTCTACCCACACAAGGCCTCTAAATCCCCAAGCTAGCACCAGGCTTTCCGGACAGAAGTTGCCGGAAAACTCTGCGACTGAACAAACTCCTGCTGGTGGGTTGGGAACTGGGCTCCCTGGACAGTGAGCTCTCTCAAGTGTGCCATGGTCCTGCTCACACTCACCAAGAGCATCTGTGGGCAGGGTCTCCTCAAGCCACACCACTGAAGGTGTGCCCGGCTGCATGGTGTACACTGGTCCCATGTGCTGCTGTCAGCACAGGAGCCCTGGAAAGGGAAGCAGAGTCCTGCCCTGGGGAGCCCAGTGGCTGTGTCACCTGTCCCAGGCTGCAGCTAAGGGCAGATGCTGGGAGTCTGGTAAGAAGCCTCACAAAATAAATGGGGCTGCTCTGGGGAGCAGATGGGGACGGCAGGCTGGGGACAGGCCAGCTGTCATTGCCTTTGGCAAGACCCAGAGGCCCAAGTTGGTCTCAGAACGTTGTGGGCAGAATGCATTGGTTGTGTGAAGGAACTGTTTATGTCTTGATAGTTTCAGCAGTATCCTGGCCTGACTGCTCACCAGGATGTGTGCCCTGGCACCGCTGCTGACTGTCTTGACTTATCCTGGATCCCTGGGTTCTGTACCCAGGATGAGCCTGGCCCACCACGCCTGAGGACTTTGGGGAAGTCACCTTCTGAGGCTTCAGTTACAGCTATCCTTGCTGGGTTCCTTCTCGGGATTGTATACATACACACATACACACACACTTTTTCTCTGTCATCAATCAGCCCTGGGAGAATACTATATTATTCCAAATCTGCCACCAAATAAATCACTGCTGCCACAACTTTTCATGCCCAAGTTCATCATTAGTTACTTAGGAGCTTGGCAAGTTTTTCTGCTTTTCTCCTTTCTTATGAGGTTAAAATAAAAAAAAAAAAAATGCAAATAGTAGTGAAACTCTAGAGAGCCTGCTGGGGCTCCTGTTCAGTGCATTAGGGATAAAAGACAGCAATGTTATTTTTCTTCCCTGTAGTAGAAAAGGCCTTAAAGAGGACAGCACACTTGATCAAGGCCCCTGGAAAGAAAGCCGGGACAAACTGAATGGTGGTGATCCAAGATGTTTTTCTACCCAGACTCCAACTGGGAAAGCAAGGCGGCTGAAAGTCAGGCTGCTTTTTCCTAGTGCTTCCCACTAGTTTGTCAGGCTCGGGAGGGGAGGGACCCCCAGCATCCTGGCCTCAGTTGCTTCACATGCTCCCAGGGAGGCAACAGCAGGCCCCACCTGCCAGGACACTGCACTCAACCCTGCGACCCGGGGCTGCCCATGGTCCCCGTGGCACCCTCTGTCTGCGGAGCATTGCAGAAGAACTGCCCCCATTTCACTGCCCCGCATCTGTGAGCTGGGCCTCCCGTGAGGAATGCTTCCTCCTCTCCGCCCTCCCTGGCTACCACGCCCCTCCAATCACCTCAGCAAGGCTGAGGGACCGCAGATACAGAATGAATTCCCGCAGCCAGTCCTCCCAAGACTCAGTGACAGAGTCGTCCCCTCTTTGGCTCGGTTTGCCTGTAATTCTTAAAGAGACAGAAGAGGAGATGGTGCCCAGAAAGTGCAGACCCGGACTCACCACCACAGCTCACTTCCTCGCTCTGCTCAGGGCCACGGTGTCCCAGGTCCAAGCTCCCTCCGCTCTGCTCCTGCTGCTCTTAAGGTCCCTGTGAAAGGGTGGGTGGCGGCTGGTGGGCGGGCTCAGCGAGGGAGGGTGCCCAGTGGACAGGACTTGGAGGGGGAGTAGGCCTGGCCTGGCCTGGCCTGGCCTGGCGCCAGCTGGATTATTCACAGCGCTGATGTCATCGGATCACAGGAATCTGGGAGCTGGATGGGCCCTAAGAATCTTTAGAATCCTGCACTCAGATACCTAAAGGGACTCTCAGGCAGGGTGGTGTTAATCCTGTCCTGACTAAAAGTGGTCCGGTGCTAAATATGCGAGGGGAGGTTGAGGGTGTGGGGTCGTCTGCCCCTGCATCCCACTGGGGCTGTCGGGCAGTGCAGGGGAGGAAAGGCTGGGTGGCTGTCTGCTGTGGGAGTGCCTAGATGTGGCCACCCAGGCCCCTCACCCTGGTCTCTAGGAGTTTATTTTCCTCCTCTCTGAGGCTGAGGCCTGGTCTAGGGACCCCTCCCACCCCTCACAGCTGAGGTCACCAGGAACCACTTGCCTGCTTGGCTTCTGGAGTTAGCTGTTAAGCAGAAGTGGCCCTGGGAGCTGGCACCTGCTGGACAGGCTGACACCTTTTTGAATGATGTAGGGAAAGTCTTAGGGTGGAACCTGGCTGTACCGGTAACCAGAGATGTGACCTCGGACGAGCTTTCAACTGTGCTGAGTTTGCGCTTTCTGCCTGCAGGCCGGTGAGGGTTAGAGAGAGTGCCAGAGCTGCTAGCATCATTCATTAGTCTCAGTTGGTGTCCAGCTGATGGGGGTCAAGAATTACCAACAGGCCCCCTGGGCTTTGCTGAAATGTACCCAGTTAGCACCAGGGCTAACTGGAAACCAGGATTTAGTGTTCCCACTGTATTAGGTTGTCCTCCCTCTGGCAGGCTGGGGGAAGGGGTGTGGAGGAGGAGTGGGGAGGCAGATAAGGTAACAATGAGGACTTTGATTTGAGGCAGGGACTCACTGGTGGGGTGGGAAGGGGAGATATAAAAAGATAAGACCCACTCTTGGTGATATTACATTCTGGGAAACTTCCTCAAAGCTTTTTGTGTTCAAGAAATGAAGTGAAATCGCTGCTCAGATCGTGAGGAGACCAAGTGGGCACTGCATCCAGAAGTTGGGAGGCAAATTTCCCAGTGGCAGCAGCACTGCCCCCAGGGTGTTTCAGGTGGCTGTGGCCAGCTGAAGGGGACCAGGGACCCCACTGAACTGGTAGGCAGCTGAGCAAGAAGTGCTGTGAAGGTCGTGAAACTCACAAACAAGAGAAGAGGCCAGTGTGGTTTTGAATGGGAGACAGTAAAACGTAGAAGTTGGATTGTTCACTTAGAGCTGCTGTTCGTTCTTCAAATATTTAACCCAACAAAACACATGTTTAAAATTCTCATATAAGATAATGGCACTGTTTTGACTATCTGACTGCTGAAAATAACTTAGATGTCAAAAAATAGAGGAATAGCTCAAAATGACATTCAGTACAGTGTGGTATCGTGTAGCCATTATGATGACTGCTAATATGACTGTGCAGACATAGCAAAATCAATCATAAAATTACCTTTCCCAAAAGAAGTGGAAACAAATTTGAATATGAACTATAATATAGACTATGCAAGCACTACATGGATATACCGAAAAAGACTGAAAAATAACATTTTTGAAATGCTGTACCTTCTGGGGGTGTTTCTCCTTGCACTGTGACGTCTGACATTACTGCTTCAGAGTCTTGCTGACTCCATGGTGCTCAGCAAGGCTGCTGTGCCAGGCCCAGTGGTCCTTGGTGGCTCAGGCAGTGGTAGGCATGGTAGTTGGAGAGAGCATGTTGGGCAAATAAGGATTTTCCTCAATAGCTTCTAACAGGATTATCCATGAATGTATTCAAACTCTTTCCAACGCCTCTCTTTTCAGTCAGTTCCTTGGTGGAAATGGAATTGCATTTCTTAGATTCATTTCCTGAGTCTCCAACAGAGCTTCATTTCCTTAGTCCTATAGCATTTGTGCTTCAGGCATCAGCCCTGATTGCCCCCCTCTGAGACTTAGTAGAGCAAATGAGCCCGTGTCCCCGCCAGGGCCCAGCCTGCAGAGCCCTTGGAGCTGGGGCTGGACCTCAGAAGTCACTTTCTCCCGGGGAATGGGTGCCTGGCTGTGGGCAGGGCTATTTGTCTTGTGCTTAGCTCTCTTGTGTGTTTCTGATGAGAGCAAGAAACTCGGCTGTTAACTGACCCACATAGAATACCACGTGAAAGGAAATGTTTTCAGACAAATGACATGCCATGGTGACCCAGTAAATCATCTCGTAAGAACTTTTTAGGGCTGGGGGTACAGCTCAACGGTAGAGTGTATGCACATGAGTGCCTGTTTTATTTTTATTTCTCCAGCTTCGTCCCTTTCCTAAATCACTCCCTAGGTGGAAAGCCCTTTGGAAGGGAAAGCCTCTTACTCTGGGTTTTAAAGTGAATCTGCCTCAAATTCTGTCTGACTGCCTTCTCAGCAACACTAGTGCCACATGGGAACAAAGTGAGAGCTGACAAGAGTTTTTTTCCCTTTAAAAACAGTTTTGTCACACTCAGGAAACAGAAAACTTCTCTAAGAAATGTCTATTAGTTAAAAATTACTTGCAAGTGCAAGTATGACTCTTTCTGAACTTATAGAAGTATATCTACTGTAGCATTTATGTATGCATATTATAATAAGAGCTTAACTACTTTGCAGAGATTAATTGGTTTGTGAGACCATCTACTTATATCCAAACAAACTATATGTCAGTGATGGTGAACCTTTTAGAGACCAAGTGCCAAGCTGCACCCAAAACCCACTTGCTTATCGCAAAGTGCCAACACTGCAATTAAATCTGAACACTGAGGTTTTAGTTTAGAGAAAACAACTCTACATTAACATCTTTTGTCTTAAAAGAAAAAATGGGTGCCATAGGTTTGCCACCACTGCTATGTATCTTATTCTGACGTTACCCTGTCTTTGTAATGGTGTCTATGGTTACTACATTTGTAAAAATGAACTGTTATACTCCAAGTTGATTTGTCTGTTTTGTTTTTGAGGCGCAGTGGGTCAAACTCAGGGCCTTATGTATGTTAGGCAAGTGCTCTACCACCAAACTACACCCCAGCCTAATCCTTGTTTTTATTTATTTATTTACTTTTGAGACAGGGTCTCGCTATGCAGTTCAAGCTGGCCTTGAATTCATTACACAGCCTAAACCGGACTTGAACTCACAGTGATCTTTCTGCCTCAGCCTTTCAAGTGCTGGAATTCAAATGTGTGAAACTATACCCGGCTTTAATCCTCGTGTTTTAAACGTGAGGATGCTGAGGAATGATTTCTGACCCCTCTGGGAATTGCGGGGCCAGTGCTAGGCTGCTGGTGCCTGGGCTCACACAGACTTGGAGTACTTGGCTTGTTTCCCGGCGGCCCTTCTGGTCATTTCACTGTTTGCTTGCTTGTTTCTGTTTTAAAATGATAATCACAATATCCAAAACTCAAATGGACACAGTCACTTCTGACTCTATGTGACCCAGCAATGTCCCTTGGTTGCCCCATCTGAGCAGGCTCCAGGAAGAAATCCACCAAAGCCCTCCCCATCTCTGCAATGAGGTCACCCTGATCCCTGCTAAAAGGGTGGCGAGTGCTCGCAAACGCGGTGACTGAATGCTGAGATGGCTCTTGCATCATCCCGGTCACCTGCATGGGCGCTGTGTTCGGTGACAGGACATCGATGTTTACACTGGGCCACCTTCTGCTGCCCAGAACAGTCACTTTTCCACCCCACCTCACCCTCAATGCAGGCCCACGCCTCCCCCAGGAAAGCCTTCCAGCAAGCCGGAAGTCATTTTTCCCCAGCCTTCTTTATCTCCCAGGCGTAGGGCTTCCTGTCTGATTTTAGTCACAGACTGAATCAATGACATCTCAAATGTCCCTTGACCTATCTCATTATGTAAGCAGGAGTGGTTTAGCCCACACCTTTTATTAGAAATGAAGGGAAATGAATACGCCAGGGTGCAGCTCAGTGGAACAGTACTGGCCTGCATGTAAAAGGCCCTGTGTTTCATCCCCAACCCAGCAAAATAAATAAATACACGAATAAAATAATGAGGAAGCCACCAGAATGCAGTGCACTGGACGGCCTCTAGTGGATCCGAAACATCTGCCTTAAACCCTAAGGTGGAGGAGGGACCCTCTGCTAGCACCCGCCTGCTCTGACCATCACAAGACCCATGCACTCTAAAGAGACCCTTGGATGTGTGTTTGAGTCTGTTACACAATATTTTCATGCTGATTTCTAAAAAACACTCCCCAGGGGGTAAGGGGCTGCACCTGGAGCTCTGAGAGGCAACTGCTCTGAGACAGTATGAAATCTTAGGAGGCCTGAGGCCTCCGCAGGAGGGGCTTCCAGAGCACACAGCTGGGCTGGCTGAGTTGAAGAGTGCAGGATGGGGATGGGGTGGAGTGAGGGGCAGTGGGGATTCCAGGGCCCAGGGCCAGAGGCTGGGAAGGCTGCTGGGCACCGCGAACCTGGGCAGGAGGCAGCTGTGGGTAAGCAAAATGTATTCTGAACCGGCAAGGAGGGTGGAACTCATTTCTCATTCTTAATGATGCACACCTCAAGTCCCCACACTGAAGCCGTGGTGGCCAGAGGACGGGACTTCCTTGGGCTAGGTCCCTCTGCCTGCTGCTCAGGAGCTAGTCACTGGAACAAAGGGTTGTGCAAGAGAGTTTGTCGCTGCCAAGGATGGAGGTATGGGGATGTGCAGGATAAAGAAGCCATGACTGAAGGCATGGGAAGAGCTGAGTGGAGGGGTCAGTGGTCTGTGCCTGTGTTTAACCATGTTGAACACGCATTAGCAGGGTCTGGAAGTGGAGTTTTCAGACACCTGGTGTCCAAAGGCCCCCATCAGATATCTGTGCAGGCCCAAATGAAGTCAGTGGATTTGGCAAAAACAACCTTCAAGCACCTGAAAGGTAACTTAGGCAACTGTTATCTCTACTTATGACCCATACTTCAGAGATGTTATCC